TCTTTAATATTCTTTATTGTTTTATTTATTTTTGATTATTTTAAAAAAAGTATTTTTTTTTAATTAAATCATAAAATCACTAAAAAATATTAGGTTTGGTTTTTTTTTCTTTCATAAAATATTTATTTGCCTTAATTAATTAGGTTAATTAGGTTAACTTAAATACTTTTTCCATAATTAAAATTAAATAGAAGTTAGGTAAATTTGCAAAGTTAATTATTTTTTCTCATAAAAATCTATAAAAAATCTTTCTTTATTCACCAATTAATTGTTTCTGAATTTAATTTCCCGTTTAATTTACTCTCGCGCGTATTTATTTCATTATTTTTACCATTAATGTAATTGCTCCGAGTTTGTAATAGTTAATTAGGTTTACTATTTCGCATTTACTATTTTCCCCGGTTTTTTGATTATGTAATTCCCCTCCCCAATGCCTTGTAATAGCTAGGGTTTTAATTTCTCGCACTTTACTTTCCGCAATTATAAACTGCCTAGATGTATGGATAATAGGATTGAATGGCAAGATAAATCAATTTAAAATAGTAGAAAATAACATTTTTTTCTCTTTTTATTTCGGTCCTTTCGATTGCATGTTTTTCTTGTCCAAGTACACGTTGAAACTAACCTGTACAGACCTCAAACGAAAGAAACAGTTTTGTGTGAAATGAAGCCTTAGGCTTCGCCCCCTTACTGCTTCAGAGTCCCAAACGAAAGACAAAAAGAACGTGAACTGAGGATATGCACTCATGCTGCTTTGCAGGCCCATATTGCTTCACAGTCCAAATGAAGGAGTAAGAAGGGAGAAAAGAAGGATGTTCACACTGACTTCCAGGCCCAATCGAAAGAAGCAGCAAGAAGGGTGAATCGAAGCTTACTTGCCCACACTAACATTCCTGCAATCGAAGGAAGCAAAAAGGCTGAATCGAAGAGTGCATCTCATCCTAACTTCTAAAACCAAATCAAAAGAGGCAGGGAAGGGAAAAATCGAAGGGGTGCTGCTTCCTGGATCGAAGAACTTATGTTCCCTTCTTTTATTTTGTTTTGTCTTTATATTTTCTTGTTATTCAATATGGTTGTAATAGTGTAGGATATTTATTTTCTGCATTTTTATTGCTTTATACAAATGTTAGTAATTAGGATGTATGGCAAGATAAAACCAACAAGTAGATAACCCTATTCAAAGACAAAAATGCATGCAATCAAACACACTATTCATACACGTATACCTCTAGGGTAATCTTGCTTGTTGCCTCAAAAAATAGTCATGTCCCTCGAAGATGGACGTTTTAGCAAAGACCATTGATAAAAAAGATCGTAGTCCCTCGATGTCCCTCGATGTTGCCTTCGGTAAACGATCTAGTCCCTAACGAAGATTGCTAAAACGTCACATAAGTTGCCTTCTATGACTATACGATTGACCCACGCCTGTCCCTTCACATCCAACGATTGGACTTCTTACCAAATCAATGGTAAGATAGCAACATATAAAGGAGAAGGAAAAGAACATAGACCTTTTGAGTAGGTAGGACGCTCGTAGTTGCTTGCTCTTAAACTAAAACCATTTTCACACCAACACTTTCAATTGAAATATTTTCGAAAGACAAAACACTTTGTACGCATTCTTATAGAGACGAGAATTATTACAAAGACACTTTTCAAAATCACTTTCAAAAATAAACATCACTTTGAACTATTTTCAAAAAGTCCAACACTTTGTATGCATTTTTATAGAGACGAGAATCATTACAAAGTTTGCCTCAACGAATGAGTTTTTCAAAAATACTTTCAAAAATCTTCACAAAGCACATTTTCAAACAAAACAAGTGATTTAGCAAGCAACTAAGAGCCCATAGATAATTATGGATGAAAATGGTGTTAACACATTTCCTTTTCATAACCTATCCCCTGAACTCAAGAAAACATCTCTAAAGGTATTTTCTGTTCTTTTCACTCTTTCCTATTTGGATAAAAGAAAAGTCGATAACGACTCTTGTTGTCGTAACAATTGCAATCAAACGCAAAAACAACCAAGTCAGTTCTCCAACCGTGTTACAGAAGACTATACCCTAAAATAAATATTATACGTTAAACCCATTAAAATGAAAACCCAATAAATCCTAAATTAAAAAGGGATAAAAAGTTATACTTACCACTAGACTTATCTTCCTCCATTCGTTTCAAAAAACACGTTTCTTCTCATTTCAGGATTCGTTCCTTTGTATGTAGCCTTGTTGGATAGTCATTCATTCGCAACAACACACCTTCGTTCTTCATTCCTTTCACTTTGAGAGAAAATATGAGAGAAATAAAAGCAATGCTACTTATATTTTCAAATTAAGTATTCCATCTCACCAATGTCCATATATAACTCAAAAAATATTATTCCACCTCAGTAAATAGTATTCCATTTAAGTGACATCTGACATCTTTCATTGACTTTAACTAACGTCTTTAATGCTAATGATAAATATGACCCTATTTATGAAATCAAGAGACTAAAATTGATATTTTTTAAATTAAAGAATCAAACTTAACTTAACTCAAACTTATCTAACTTTTGTTACTTCTATTATTTGTATTCCAAATACTTTTGTGCCCCACATATTCTTAAAGACATAAAGTACTTCTAAAATGAATATATCATGCAATGTGTGTAGTGGAAGTTTCTAGGTGGAGACTCCTCCATTGATTTCGGAGGAAAAGAAAATGAGAACAATATACACTCAAGGACCAAACCTTATCAATTTACCATTTTGCCACTGTTTGCAATCCCTCTCTCCAAACCCAAATGTTCCATTCCTCGTTCCTTCCACGCATACTAGAAAGCTAACTCCAAAACCTTTTTCCATTTCCTTCAAAAACTCTCTCTTTTCACCAATTCAAGCTTCTTCCATGGCTTCATCCACTGTCACAGACACTCAGAAACCATTCTCCGTTCTCTTTGTGTGTCTTGGCAACATCTGTAGAAGCCCAGCTGCTGAAGGGGTTTTCACTGACTTGGTTAAGAAAAGGGGTTTTGATTCAAAGTTCAGAATCGATTCTGCTGGTACGATCAATTATCATGAGGTGGGTAGGTCTAAAAATGTCATTTTTATGATGGGTTTTTTCAGATTGTTTAAAAAGTTGATTTTTTTTTTATTTTTTATTTTTTTGAAGGGTAATGAAGCTGACCCGAGAATGAGAGCTGCATCAAAGAGACGTGGGATTCAGATAACTTCACTTTCACGGCCAATTAAGTCATCTGATTTTGTTGAATTTGATCTTATTCTTGCTATGGACAAGCAAAACAAAGGTAGAGTATGAGATATTTTAATCTGAATTTTGATGGGAAGTTTTTTTTTTACGAATCAAAACGACAAGGACGGAATCACGCTGGATTTTGTTGGGATGTTTATGGTTGTTTGTTTAAATTCAATTCTATTTGGTTTGATGTGTTTAGTGTTTAGTAATGGAGCTTGTTGTTTTTTGTTTTAGAGGACATATTGGAAGCTTTTAATAGATGGAAATTTAGAGATCCTATACCTAAAGATGCCCACAAAAAGGTGAGTAAGCTCAAACAACAATGGAACCCCTTTATCCAAGGCATTGCTGTTAATCAAGAAAAATAAGTGTTTGTTCAATGTAGGTTAGTCATGGTTCTGATTAGACAAAACAACTATAAGGGTCATATTTAGCATGGTTTAGCCGCGACAAATCTATTATGAGGCCATATTTAGTTTAACCGTGACAAATTTAAGGTTGGAGACCATGTGATGTAGTCCATGTTGCACATCCTCAAAGACGGCTCTGCTAGTTATAGCATCGTCGTGTGTTAAATTGTGTATAGTTGAACAAAAGGATTTTGTTTAAATTCTGCCGCGTTACGCCTGTGCTATTTGTCAACAAACTCAACACTAAATTCCAAAAAAAATGAAAGTTTTATAAATACTAAAACAATTTTAAGTCTTTCTTTTGTTACCTGAAATAACGACTTGTGTTGCCTTATACTCCCTCCGTAACGAATTATAAACAAATTTGACTTTTTTGGTACATTAATTGTCAAATGTACCAAACAAAGTCAATTTTGCTTATAATTCGTTACGGAGGGAGTACTTGAGGCAAACAGTCTTCGATACAACTTTTTGTTCGTTTTGTATTGTATATATAAGGATGATGGGGAATTTCGGATGGTGCAGGTTAAGTTGATGTGCTCATATTGTAAGAAGAACAGTGAAACTGAAGTCCCAGATCCTTACTATGGCGGACCTCAAGGCTTTGAGAAGGTACACTGTTCATGATAGGTTATTCGTTGATTCTTCACTGTTCATGATAGGTTGTACGTTGATTCTTCGTTCATTTGTGTAGAACAGAGTTTAGTCTTGAATTACGACACACTATTTCGCCTTGTGAAGCACCAACGAACAATAGACACGACACTGGCACTTGACACTGACACTGACACACTGAGATAACAATATGAAAAGTTGAAATAATTGAATGTAATCACATATACAAGAATCCTAATTCCTTCCATATGAAATATTGATGCTACATAGCTTGAATGTCTAGTGAATTAGTTGAAATATCTTATTATCATTATGTGCGACTTGCAGGTGTTAGATTTGCTTGAAGATGCTTGTGAATCATTGCTGGATAACATTTTGGCAGAAAATAAACATATACAAGAATCCTAATTCCTTTTTAATTCACAAATTATACAGTCCTGGTATTAAGTCGTAAAGATTGGCGGTGTTCACGGATGTGAGAGTACATTGTTTCATTGTTTAGTCATCGTAAATCTGCGATTGCTATATATTGTGAAGTTTTTACCATGCCTATTCAAGAATGAGTCATAAAACGCAGTATTGTTTCTTCCTCTTTTTATTTACTGTTGTGTTTCTCATTGAATTCTTAGAATCAGCAAGTTATAGCATAGTTAAGATCATTTTGAATATGTTGACATGCATGTCAGAAGAGGTACTGACTGCATTTGACACTATTGTACTGTTTCGGTTTAGATTTCACCTCAAAAGTAATTTGATTTTTGAATTATTTATAATATTCTTCTGCACGACCACCGGTGCAGTGTTGGCTGTGGTGGATGGAGGAAACTGGAATTCATATATTAAGTTTTTCAAAGTAGACATTATAAGGTAAATAGAATAGACTGTGCAGAATAAACAAGTAGAACACAACAGAATAGCATAGTAACTGAAACAAGAAAGAAAAACAAGAAAATTAGAGAAGATGTGATACACAAGTAGAATAAAAGAGAAACACCCGAGTAGAACAAAAAAGAAGAAATAAAAAAGAGACAAAAGTGGCCCGAGGAAGAGAAGAGGACAAAGAGGAAGAATAAAAAAGAATCCGTGATGTATGTAAGAAATTTTCAAGTGTTGTTTTTGAAACACAACAAATAAGGAAGAAGGAAAGCTCAAACTCATCTGATCCTCTCTATCATGACACCACCAGAGGTCCAGGGTTTGGCTAAGTCATCCGCATCAGTTAATAATCTTGGAGCTCAAGGTAATACGACTATAAACAAGTACAATGAACAGTGAAGAAGGCTCAAAGATGGTAAGATATGGCTAAGTTCCACTTTAGGATCAATGAATAGGGAAGAAGGCTCAAAGCTCGTAAGATATGGCTAAGTTCAACTTTAAGATCGAGTATTCATTTTCCTATTCAAGTGAGACATGAGTTGGACCATTTTCTTTCATGAATTACTTTCATAAGTAATTAATTTTCTTCCAGTAGAACTAAATTTCTAAGAATCCAAGACAGGCAATTTAAAACTTTGTCAAGCTAGTTTCATAAGAACTAATTTTCTTTACCATACAACATTTGTCTCGTGCATCTAAAAATTGTCCAAATTTTTTTTTCCTTCAGCTTTCAATCAAGGTAAATTTAATTTCCACTATTTTTCTTTCCAAAATTCCTATCTGGGCAGTTAAATACCATCTACCTTTCTTCCCTAATATAAGAGACAATGAAAAGCATTTCCCATTCAAATACCAACAATGTGCAAATAAATTATTAATGCTTACTATCTAGAATAAGCTAAGGTCTGGGACGCATGTTCACTCTACACAAAATATGGCATTAATTCAAACAAGACAGACTATCGATATAACTTTAGTCTACAGCAAATATACAAAATAATGATATCAAAAGAACTAAGAAAAATATACACAACTCTTGGGTTATCCCTAATGCTTTCTTGAGAAACAACTAGGTATTTCTATCTAGTTCCATGTTCATTGTCTCTTAAAACGACGGCTCTCCCCCGACAAAAGGATGCGCGTAGCTAGGGGCTGACTTCATCAAAGATCCGTTTGATGATCATTGTCGTTGTCACCTTCATAATATTCATCATCCCGCTGGATATGCTTGTCTTGAGTGTGTTCTGGAAAGAGAATTATCAAAATCAATAAACAAATGTTTAGCACATATGAAGGAAGAAAAAAAGTATTTTCCTTACGATCAATGCGCTCATCAGGGTTCTGCAAATCTTCATTCAAATCAGGAATGTAGAAGTCAGGTGGGACCTGCGAGTAATCCACAAAATGTTAGTCTTGCCATTTGAAAAATAATCACAAGTCACAGCCACAACAAATTTATGCCTACTAGGCATCCTTCCCTATTTTAAGGAAGAACTCACCTCTTGCATTTGCACACTCGGAGCATGTTGTATGCTGCGTAGATTTTCCAAGACTTGCATTTTTATAGTGCTAAGATATGATTTGCTGTTTAAATTTTCCTGATCATTTCAAAGAAGAAAAATAATGAGACTGTATACACAATTCACTGTACAATGCAATGTCTAAGCTTAAATTATACTAAATATGTATTTGATCATATCCAATGTAATTGGGAAGTGACAAAATCCAGACAAGAAATTTCAAATCTAAATCCTGAGTCAATTTTAAAATTAAAGAAAAGTCTAAATAAATAAAAATAGTATAATGAAGACTATTGAGAAATACATACTATGTGCCCATTTGGAATCTTCAATGAGAAGTCTGGCCCAAAATATTTGATATAATCATTCTCTGGAATCTCTGCAAAAAAATAGAACACGGTTAAAAACGTCGACTTAAGAAATAATAAGACAAAATTTACATTTGAAATCCTGTCTCGACCCATTGGAAAAGATACATTAAATTGCCATCAACTAAGCAACTCAAAAGTATAAGCTAATAGATCAAAACATATGAATAGTTTCTAATACACCCTCACATAAGAGCTCTATCCACTTCAAGCGTGAACAGTGCGCATAGGCCATTCTATCCTATTCCAAAATCGAACATTTTTAAATTTTAAAAGGTGAGGGTCCAATGTTTTTATCACTTGGCCCAAGAGGCTCCTAAACTACATCATCAACTGATTATCCTAGAAGCATGTGATGACAGATTACATAACCTATCAGAAAATATACCCTCAAGCATAAGACCAATAATGATGTTGAAAAAAGGAAGGGAATTAGAATCATGATCGATAGCAGTAAGGTCAAAGTGGTTAGTGAGCTTTAAGATGTATCATTCAGGAGAACCCGTGTTCAAACCATGGCTGGATGGAGCAATCCTTGGCTGGGTTTTACTTACCTCCTGGCCAAACTCTGGATTACCAAGCCCCTTTCCATTGGGAACAAGAGGGTTTAAGACAACAATAAAATATCATGTCAGTATTTTCTGGACAGATATTGCAGGAGATTACGGTGAAGGAATTACGTCATTAAGGCACTGCAACCTTTCATATGATATGCCCCAAAAGGGGGATTGGTAAAGTTTTCTCCATCATTCCAAAGTGTAATGGGAAACCAAAGATAGTTTTGAAAAAATACACGACTTCACAACTAGCGGAGCAGTATTTCTATGTTTTAAAAAATAATAATAACGAACATTAAATCCAATTCATAAAAGAAAATAAATTTCAGTAAAACATGACAACATTGGCAAAGAGGCTAAATTAATATACCATTTGGAAGCTCTGTATCTAGAAGAACTCCAGTTTCAACTGCCCAACATCGAGCAACATTTTCTTTTGTGTATCCCCCGCCTCCAGTGACCTGTTGCAGAAATACATTCATGTAAATCTCAGTCATTGTGCAGGTGAATGGAAGGCAAACATAAAGTGATATAAACCCACCAGTAACGGCACATTAAATCTCTTCACGAATCTAACACATTCAGCATGACCTGCACAGTAGGAGCCAACATTTGTAAAGAATAGGAAAAGGGTTATGACGGAATGATGATATTTTCACCAGAATAGGAAATTTATTGGGAAATAAGCACCATCAATAGAGAGATTGAAGCAACCCAAGCGATCTCCAGCAAGTGAATCTGCTCCACACTGGAGAACTATTGCACCGGGTTGATATGTTTCAACTACTTTGGAAATAATCTATAGTACAAGAATTTCAAAAGGTTCAGAGAACATACAATCAAGCTAGAAGAATTAATGCAATAACGTCATATTGAAGTTGCAATTCGGCCAAAAGAACATAAGAGCTGAACTTACAGTCTTGAAAAGTCTAGTGAAGCTAGAGTCATCAATTCCATCCTTGAGTGGGACATTTATTGCATAAAACTTCCCTTCTCTTTCTCCTATTTCCTTCAATAAGGTAAAATCAGTTCAAATCATTTCAATCTATGGAAAGCTTGCAAAATGTTTCAAACAAAAAGGATATTCAGTTTAGCAAATGCACAAGGAGGGAACAGTGATATCCCAAACTATTACAATTATATAATTGAAACATCTATGATATGAAAGAAATAGGGTGATAACCACAACTAAAACAAGAAAAAACACTAAAAATACAAGCAAACAGATTAAAGAAATTCACCTTAGCATCACCAGTTCCTGGAAAGAACATATCTCCATACTTGTGAAAACTGACAGTCATCACCCTGTCATGAAAAAAATATACCATTTAAGAAAGTAGAGAAAAATAATGTACAATATAGAAAAAATATTGTCCCTGAAATATCATAAAAGGAAAGTATTGTCTACCAGCACATAATTATACATTTAGTAGATAATGAACAAGGCTTGGTTGTTGTAAATAGGCTATTCAAATTGAATCGCAAAAAAAAAGATTTATACAGCTACTATCTTATTCCTAGGTCATTGATAGTTTATAAGGAAACATAGCATAAGGTTTGTTAGACTAGTCATACTTGTAACAAAACATAGTCGTGAATTTAATAACAATATTTTTTGATAACTTTAAGATTCTCAACAGGTTCATTTTCCTAAATCTGATCTGATAAAAGAAACTAGCAGACCTGTCAGTAAAGTAGAAGGCTTCTTCTACACCATCTCCATGATGCACATCTATATCAATATATAGAACACGGGCATGACGTTTAAGAAGCTCTAAAATCCCTAAAACCAAGTCATTGATGTAGCAAAATCCAGAGGCTTCACATTTCTTGGCATGATGTAGTCCACCAGCCCAGTTTATAGCAATATCACACAGTTGATTGTTCAGTCGACGTGCAGCATCTGCAGGTACATGTTAGTCAGCATAAATATGACAAACAAGGCACGACAAGATTCATGAGAACCACAAATATAATTGTGAGAATATATGACAAATATATAATCATATGATATCTTATCTTCATTGTATCTTGGAAAATTTATATTTTAAGATTGGTTATCATAGTTGCTTATACTTCCAACTCGCTTTCTTATGTAATTAGGATTTTGGGTCTATTAGTAGTATCTAATAAAAACTACAAAACTTAGTGTTTACGTTACTTAATTTAGTCTCTATCCTTATCTTTTTCCTCATACCTACAATTTCAACACAGTATAAGAACGATGTCATTCATTGCAAGTATACAAGTTTTTTAAAATGTGGAACTCTACTGCAGCAACGTCAACATCTCCAAGATTCTCTTATTCTCACCAATTGTGTTTGTGCACAAACTTCAGTCACCGATGTTTGAGATTCTCTCATTGTTAGTGGTAGCCAAGAAATTTCCACTTGAAATCATTCCAGTAAAGTTTCTTCTCCCTGTTCATGCAACAATCCAATCAGCTCTTCAGGCTGGCAACTATTCCAGGTATTCACTAAGTTGTATTTCCCTGCAAACGGACTCGCTTGTAAAATTATAACAAGTTTAGAGCATACTAGGCTTTAGCTTCAATGGTTATAGGAGTGTTACACTATACGGAAAAAAAATTATGTGATGTCTTCATTGTATCTTAGACGAATCTAGAGTATCTTGGATCATCTCTCAATGCATGTTTCCTTATATTTCATAATTTGTTTCCTTATTGAAGATTAAGATGTTTTAGTGTAAATAAAGGTTAATGCTATATATGTCTTGCAACTAGTTCTTCATATTAATTATTAAATCAATATCAATTGCAGTTTCATTAGCCATTTTTCTTTCTCCCCTACCAACATCCCAATAATTTCAACAATAAACATATTACCTATAGTTCCACCAGCATAAATCTGACAAAATTCAAATAAGTTGTCAAATACGGGGCAGTCTTCTCCGAGATTATCTGACAAAAATAATCAACAATAAAGGTGGAACTTGTTAATAACTAAACAACAAATAGAATATATTAAGGTAAAATTACCACATAAACATTGGGATAGGAAAATGTTAAATTGAGAAGTTAGATATCAATTATACTACTATAAAGTAAGGGTAATGTTAATCTCCCAAATTCCACCCCCTTTTTCTCCCTAAAAAGGCAAACGATACTTACTTCGTTTAATGTGCATAAAAAAGTTTTAAACATAAAACCTTGAAGGCAATCAATAGAACTAACAATATGGAAATTTTCATTGGTTTAAAGCTTAACACTTAAAGATGCAGATCACAAGCCTAATGAATGTAACATCTAAGAAAAATTATGCAGTGGATTTTTAGAAGCCAAAAGAAATTAAATCAGATATACTCAAACTTTGGCCTTAGTTTAAAAACTACAGTATCTGTACAAATTGATAGACTTCCTCTTTTCCTCTCTACTTTTCTGACAGAAAATAGAATAAACAGCAATAAATCCTATCACTGTATCTTATTTTGTGTAAAAAAATAACACACAAAATCACATAGACATGACCATTTAAAATTGAGAAAAGCATACATTTGGACAGTTCATCTGTAAACAAGTGCTGAGTGTCAGGTGTAATCCTGTGCAAAAACTCAACATAATCAGAGGAATGAAACTGGGCAAGCTCAACAGGATAAGCTTTGTGTGGGCGCTGCATCATACATAAAAAAGAAATCATCAGAATACCATTATTGATATAATCAGCCACAACAATAAACAAATGGCAACAAAATACCAAACATGCAAATGAAAATTAAACAGACAAGGTGTGACTGACATAAATTTCCATCTTCTTATGAAGATCATACGAGAGAACAAGATGGTGAGTCATGCAAAGGCGGTGAGGCTTCATGGGATGGTTCGGCCCGAAGTAAACACTACCCGCATCACCTGCAATATGAAAATTCGAGTAATTGAGTTCAAGACAAACATGCAAATAAGCAAGGTCCGTGAAATACTTAAAAAGAAAAAACTAATGACTAACAGCTCCTCGCAAAACTCGATTCCTATTAAAGGTACTACTTTCCTTGCCTAACAGCATGAAAATTAATAAAATAAATGCAAATTGATTCATCGTGACAGCAAAATAACTAAAAACTTGATTACATTTTTGGTCTTTGTAGTTTGACAGATGGCTGATTTTGGTCAATGCAGCGTCAATTACTCAAATCAAGTTAACATATTTTTCTATCAGTGAAATGTGACCATTAATACTACTCTATCCTATTTTATGGAAAGTGGACCATCTCCTTCCATCCATCCTCTCCATAAAAAGAACATAACGGCAGAGAGAGGATGATTAAAAACAGGCACATAATAGTCCATTGAAAGAAGAAATCCATACTATCTTTTTTTACATAACAACAGTCTCAGATGCCAGAACAGTCGACTTTGTGGCATGCCATGTCCATCTAATTAGCTTCCATATCATAACAAAATGCCATCTGCGGTAGCTCATTCAATTCGACGTAGCTTTATCAATTGAACTGGATTTTGGACTGGATTTCAATCATTTGAAAAGTATGAGAACCTATGACGCACTGACACAAACACAAACACCAGACGTTCCGACACTAACACAAAAAATTGAAGAGACCGAATATATAACCACGTGTGTAGGACGAGTGTGTGTCGGTGTAGGACACTAACTCGGTCGGACATGCCTAATATCTATCTAAAGTGTGGGTACTAAATAGACGAGAATCTTTGTAGCACCGACATATCTAAAAAATTCATGTATGTGTCCGTGTACATCTCTGAAACCGACACGGACACTTGTGATTACTTTTACTTTATTCATTTTTTTCAAATTATTATCATTGTGGACGTGTCATTGTCGGTTGTCAATGAGAACCTTATTCATCAATCATGCAAATTGATTTGGAGACAAAAATCAAAAATGCAATTTATCCTAAAAAAAAAATGCAACGACCTAATTTCTCACAATTGCAAATTCTAAAACATGAAAAAGCCTTAACGAAAAAACTGAAATCTGACATCTATTGAACAAAGCTAGGGTTTCAATATACAAGAAATAATCAGCGCTATGAAGTTCGAAGATGTCTTTGACACCGCCGAATAAGAACCGGAGTAAAAACAAAAACGAAGGGAACTATAAAAGCGAATGTGAGTGAATAAAGAAGAGAACGGAAACGCACCGTCGTAAAAGTAAGCGATTCTGTCTTTGGAGCGCATGTTTGGAAGAAAAGAGAGAGAGAGAGAGCTGAAGAGTAACGGTTTTGTCTTGAAAAGTGCGCACTACGGTGACATTAACGGCTGCCGGAGCTTGCTCTGCTATTTTGCGCCTCGGCTTCTCTTCAATCGTATGTCACGAGCCAACGTCACGTCCAGCTGTAATGCTTCTTCAGCGTCGTAAAAGTGCAAATGTGTACTTTAATTAAATTACATAAACATCCTTACAAAATATGATAAATACATTAAAAAATATAAAGAAATATTAATGACTAATGTTAAATAATTGACCAAAAGCCACATTCATCTACACTAACTCAAAATATCAATTCAAGTATCTCACTCGTTCATGTAAATAAATATTTTTAATGTTTTGATGACCTTTAATCTTTGAAGTTTAAGGTTGATCAAAAAATTAAAGTTTGACTTTGGTGTGACAGTTAACTTTTTATCAGTTGATTCCAATTTTTTCCACCATAAGTTAATTGTATTCTTGAGAATATCTTGAGCCCTGTAATTAGGTCAAGATGTTGCATTTGAGTTCTTTGAATTGTGCCTCAAGCCATTAGGTCATGCATTGAGCCAAAAGTCAATGATCCACTTTAATCAAAACCCTAATTTGATTAAGACTTGTATTGATGGAGATTTCTTGATTCAAAATCCCGATTGACACAAAGAGAAAACACAAGCTATTTTTTATATCTTATTAAAGATGCAATGATGCGTATGAAGTGGTATCTTAGGTAAAAAATTAAGGTACAACATTGAGAAACAATGTTTATAAGGCACTCGTTAATGCTAAGGAAAATGCGGTTGGATTGAATATCACCCCCAACGTTTTCTCAAAAGCGTATAATTAAAAGAAAAAGACAGTTTTATGAGAATTTGAATACCCCAACAGTTGAGCTATCTGAAGTAAATTTTTTTGGAGTTAATGATTTTCTTTACCTTGTTGATCAAGTCGTTGTTTTTCTTAATAAGAGATTTTAACAATATAAATAGTATGAAACTATTTTTGGTTTCTTGTTTAATTCTCACAAGTTACAATCATTGTATGATGCAACTTTGAAATCTTGTTGTAGTAACTTTGAACATGTATTGAAACATAATGAACAATCTGATATTGATGAGAATAAATTTTTTGCAGAGTTAAAGTTATTAAGAGAAATATTGTCTGATGAAATCATAAGACCTACACACATATATATATATATATATATAGAGAGAGAGAGACTTGGATTATTTTCCTAACACATTTATTGCATATATAATTTTATTAACTACTATTGTGACAAGTTTTTTAAAATTGAAGTTGTTAAAGACTTAGTTGTGGTTCTACCATATTACAAGAAAGGCGTAATGGAGTGACATTGATATCAGTTGAAAATGATATTTTGGAGACAGACAAATATGAAGACTTAGTTGATGAATTTTGTTCAAAAAGTGTCCGGAGAAAGACTCTTTTTAAATAGTTTAAAACTTTAAATTGTATGAAATGATATTTATAGTTTAAATAATATTTTGAGTTTTTTAATACTTAATTTGGTTAATATATCATTGCATTTTTGGTACATTATTTCTAATTATAAAAATATACATATTTTAATTTAAGTCTATTTTTTAAATTATAATAGGGTCTCCTAATTAATTGGGTCGATCATGATTCGAAATATTAATGAAATTTATTCCATATTCCATATGCAACAATAACACGAGTAATATGTTTTGATGTATGTGATTGATTGTGTTCACTTTTTTGTTGTAATGTATTATATGAATGACAATATTTTTGAATCAATATGCTATGATACAATATTTTTTAAACTAAAAAATAAGAAATATCCCATAAATACAAGTTAGTTTATAAATTTTACAATAATTATATACAATTTTATACTATAGTCTAATAAGAAATTATCGTTATTGAATATCATCTAGTAATTTTAAAATATATGAGTAAATCTACGAATCATTGTGCAAGACCCAATAACTATAAATTTTAACTTCTAATTAACTAGAGTCAATTTTAAAAAGTAAAAGCAATTCTACAACCATACATGTCTCTAGCAAAATGAAACATATACTATGTAAAGTCGGATAACAAAGTGAAAGAGTGTGACACAATGGTGACGAAGAACAATGTAACATCAAACCCTAGCCATAGGGAACACCCAAAAGTGGTGGTTATAACTGGTCCAACCGCTTTCGGAAAATCAAAACTAGTCGTTGATTTGGCCTTCCACTTCCGCCTCAAAGTAATCAATATCGATTCCATGCAAGTCTACTCTTACTTCAACATTCTCACCAATAAGCTGTCTTCGAAGTAATGGAAATAAAAGTGTAATTGAAATATTTGAAATATAATTTTTCTAATATGGAAAACAAATTAAATTATGTAATATATACATTTTATGAGAAAAATATCAAAGTAAAGAGCTTGGTGTTAAAGCTTGAGTGCCGTTAAGGTAGTGAACATGTATTGGTGGAAAAGTGTTGAATTATTTTACTTTTAAAAACTCCAAGCCTACATAAAGAAAAAATAAAAGTCACGTGATATTTATAAAAAAAAGAATAATTTATAAATAAAAAAGCCAACTAAGCAGTCTATGTCATTAAAAAATAATAAAAAAATATTTGTCGTTTCATTATTTTGATGAGTAGGTTTCTTGAGGGGTCAAACAGTAGAATCTTCATAAGTTAGGGAGAGAATCCGGTTTTTTTACAGGGGCATTTTTTAAATATCGCCCATATATTAGTGAATAAAATAAGTATTAACCCGACAAAATATTATAAAGTCCATATAAATGCGAAAATACTATCAAGGCTTACATCAATAATTATTTGGTCATTAAGTTCTTTTGCAATTGTTCCCAACAAACCAAGAAATCCCTGTCTCAAAAAACAAATGTCATTTCTTCTTCTGCATTGAAAACATGTACATCAAGTTTGAATCTGATAAAAAATATTATCCAAAATAACATGATTAGAAGAAGTTCATTTTAAACATAAAGTTGTCGAAAGAAATGGTAAAAACTTACTTAAGTACTTTATTATTTAACTTGTTCTTGTTCAAACAAAGATACAGAGCTAACTTCCCATCAATTTTTCTTGTACAATGGTCACATAGTCTGTAGTACCAACTATTTTTGGAAGGGATTATCTGCCTTATTGTTGTGATTGTAAGGCACACGATATTTTGCACATGTTAAATAAAAAATTAATATATAATTACATAGGTACAAAGACAATTGTGTTTAATTTAGAGAAAGATATATATTTTTTAAACTTACATACTTCAAAATTTATTTCAAAATTTATTTATCTAAACATTTTTTTCAAAAACCCCAACCACCATAATTCTTGGTTCAATTTTATACAAAATAGTGATAATCCTCCTTGTATCCCAAATCTATAAAACACATCATACATTAAAATTACATCTCATAATCCAAATCCACACCATAATCTAAATTTCAAAATTCAATTTTTATTCCAAATTCACAAAATAACTCACACTTTGGAAATTATCCACATCATACATCACATTCTCCATATCAATTTCAACAATTTTTATCTCAGACAACTAATCCCATTATGCCACGTGAAGTTGATATTGGTACTAGTGGTGTGCAATCAAATGATCAAGAGTCTCAAATACCACAATTTTGCACTCAAGATGATTTAGAAACTATCAACCTTAATGAAGATGTTAGAATCGTGTCAATTGTAAATATACCGAAAACAAGATTTCAACCAAAGGAGGATGAGCTTCTCATTTAATCATGACTCAACGTTTCAAAAGATCCAATTGTTAAGGTTGATTAAAAAGGAGATAACTTTTGGAAGAAGATTGGTGAAGCTTATAATGAGCATTGTGACAAGATTTTTCAAGAGAGAAAACCATTGACATTAAAAGTTCGATGGCACAAAAAGTCTAACCCCTATGCTAATAAGTTTGTTGGGTGATACAAGCAAGCCATGAATTTTAAAAAAAAGCGGGAGCTCTGAGAGCAACATAATTTCAACCGCATATGATATTTATTATCAAGATGAGCGTGAAAATTTACATTTGAGAGTGCATAGAGATTATTGAAAGATGAACCCAAATGGCTTGCAGGTTCATTAGAACCTTCTATAAAAAGAACAAAGAATTTGGCTTCTGGAGCATAATCTTCATCTTCTAACTCTCCAACCCCAACAAGCAACATATGCAATTCACTATCACCTTCTTTATTACGTCGACCAATCGGTCAAAAGGCGGCAAAAAGAAAGGAGAAAGAAAAGCTAGTGGAAAGATCAACACCCAATGTCAAATTTAATACTTTGCAAGACGACTTCCAAAAGAAAAATGAATTGATGTTACAGTTTGCACGTGATTATGCACATATTGAGAGTAAAAAAGTTGAGATAGAGAAGAAAAGAATCGACGCAGAGAAACATAAGATTGGGAGAGATATGGTAAGATTAAAGATCAATAATTTTCAAATACTTTCAAAAGATACATCATACATGGATTCAAGACAACTGCAAGCTCACGAGTTATTGTGTGACATGATTAGAAGAGAATACGGGCTTGATTAATATGATTATGTATGTTGAATAGTTTTTAGTATATCACTAGTTATTTTTAGATTCTATGTATTTTAGTATTCAATTTGTAGCCTTTATTCAAGTCAATATTATTCTATTTGTAGCCCTTATTCAAACTAGCCATTATTCAAACTAGTCGTTATTCAAACTAGTCGTTATTTGTAGCCCTATAAATACTCTTAACATGAGTAATAAGCTTCACACTCTTTTCCAACTTATCTTCCACTTAATTCAATATTAGAATTACCTTCACATGGATCCTTCCAACTCTTCCCACATTGCAAAAATGTTCATGGATTATATGAATGATGACATAGATGAAGAACTTGTGAGACTTTACTTTGAAAGTGAAGCCCAAGAAGAAGTTGTGAGTTCTAGCAGGCCTAGACGCCAAAGAAGAAATATAGAGAGGA